AGCATCATCTGTGAAAATGAGGTTAGATTAGAAAATTAAATCTCAGGTGAAGTATATTTATTCCCAAGATTGAGAACTAGGTTTGGGTGGAGTGCCTTAAATATCAGAATGGCTGGTGGCTTCTAAAGGGCTACAGTTAAAGGGGGAGGGGAGACCCAGTATAACTGTAGTATTTCATTAGGAAAATTTCTTTTTAAATTTTTATTTCTATTTATGTGTCTCTGTGCATGTGCAGTGCCTACAGAAGCCAGAAGAGGGCTCCAGATCCCCTAGAGCTGGAGTTACAGGCAGTTGTGAGCCACCAATGTGGGTGCAGGGAACTGAACTCCCCTCCCAAGCAGCCAGCACTCTTAAACTACCTCTTCAGTCTCCTCATTGGGGAAATTTTTATTACCTAAAAAAAAAAAAGAAATCTGAGGGGCCAGTAAAGAAAAGAAATGGAAAACATGACACCAGATATCCTTGAGCCCTAGTTAGAAATTTACTAATTTAAAATATTTCATCCCTTTAGTATATGGTATTGATTTTAAATTATTACCTACATAATTTATTTAACAGAATATATTGGAGAATAAAAAAACAAAAACAAAAAAACCAGGGCCAGCAAGATGGCTCAGTAGGTAAAGTGCCTGCCACCAAGCCTGATGACCTGAGTTTGATCCCCAGGACCCACAAAGTGGAAGGAGAGAACTGATTCCTACAAGTCGTCTTCTGACCCCCACATGCATTCTGTGGCACACACACACACACACACACACACACACACACACACCACAGCCTAAAATAAATTATATATCCAAAAAAATTAGAACCATGAGGAAAAAGTATGTAGCTGCTGAATACTGCTTCATGCTCTTGTCCATTATACTTTACAAGCTCTTAGAAAAAAACTGCACTTGATCTGACTAATATGAGTCAGAGGGTTAAGACCCTTCCCAAAGTCTCACAACTGTAAGTGACAGGGTTAAAAGAAGCCTGGTATGCCCCAGACTAGGACCTGCAGGAGCCACCACATTGCCCTTCAGCTTTATAACAGCTGTGAACAAAAAAATTCATTTTTTTATGTGTACAAGTGTATCGCCTGCATGTGAGTGCACCCGTGTCCTGGAATTAGAGCTAAGGAAGGTTCTTAGTCACCATGTGGGTGCTGGGAATCAAAACCAGGTCCTCTGCAAGAGCAGTTAGTGCTCTTAACTGATGAGCCATCTCTCCAGCCCCAACAAAAACATTCTTAAAGTCTTCTGGGAATTGGATGTTGAGAAAGCACAGGAAGGGAAGTACCTCCTGCACCCCAAAGTCTGGAATGCAGAGTCAAGTTTCCACCAAGAGCAACAAGAATCCCAGGAGTCAGACTTCTGTTTCTCTCCTGCCCTCCACACACAGAGCACCCCACAGGGAGGCCTACCTGTCCTTCCAGGCAAAACAAAAAACAAAGCCATGGTCAGTCACATGCCAAATGGGCATCCCGGATGGCTACTTTTCAGACTCCTTCCAAAGAACTAGTTATAGTTGACAGCATCTGTCCTAGCAGAGGGGTGCTGGTGACACTAAATCAACTGATTCCCCCAGCTCTGTGGTGAGAGGAAAAAAGGCCCCAACATACAATATCAGTGTTCATTTCTCAGGAAACCCCTTTGTCCTTCTGAGAGACAATTAATTGAGGTGATCCTTACACAGAAGGAAAAAAACCTGCATCACTTCTCCCTCATATGTGGACCCTAGCCTATAATGTATATATGTAAACAGGTATAAGTGGGGTATGTATAGTCTAAAATTTAGACAGAAGACCAAGAGAAGGTAATATTAGGTGATGAGGAAGGATGTGTAGAGGCAAAAGGACCTGAGTCATGAAAGAGGGTATAAAGATAACTTCTTTTTCATTTTAACTCTGTTAATTTTGTGTGGTGGCAGTGGACATGTGAATTTAACTTGCGTGTTGAAGTAGCAAAAACCATTTTAGCACTACAAAAGAATCTTAAGTGTTAAACCTTTGAGGCAGCGATGATGAAAGTACAGCTTTCTTTTTAATTCCATTGACCATCAATGCAACAGGAATTAGACATGACTAGTCACTGACTACATCGATTGCAATGACCTATCTCAAAAAATGATTTTTTAAATTTGTTCTGTGGGGGAGGGATTTTATAACCAGAAATATTTCTATTTCATCTCCTGTTTAAAGCTATATCAAATTATTCTATCACAGTGTCATTTAACAAGTAAATTATGTTGTCATAAAGCATGTTTTTTTTAAAACAACAACAACAACAACAACAAAGAAACTGCTTTCTAAAATACCTTGTCAGGGCAGAGTCAGGGTCTGACAGATGTGACAACAAAGCTCTGCCTCCAGAGGTGCAGGAAGCAGTGATCAGACTAAACCTCAGCCCTCACCCAGGAATTTTTCTTCTGTTTTAACCCTGTTTCCAGGGCCAGCCCATGCTAGGCAAGCACTGTGCACCAGTGAGCTGTATCCCCAGCCCTTTTTCACTTTCCCTTTTTTTGAGACAAGGTCTCACTATATATCCCTGGCTAGCCCAGAACTCACTATGTAGATGTCTGCCTCTGCCTCTGCCTCTGCCTCTGCCTCCTGAGAGCTAGGATTCCGGTTGTTAAGGTTCAGATAGCCCCGCCCCCTCACCAACAGGGTCTCAAGGACTTCTCAAGCTCCTGAGAAAAGGGAACTGAGTTGATAAGCACCCTGGTCTTTGAAGTCAAGAAAAGCAGACTTTTCTCCACTGTTTGGCCAACACAGCAGGCCTCCCCTTTGATCTCTAAAGAGGACAGGTTTCAACAGTCCTGCTCTCCCCCCACCCCCAACCTTAAAAAAATACATCTTCCCACCTTCTGCAAGCAGCAGAAGCCTCCCTTTTTAAAAGACCCCAGCTCACAACCCAGGCAGACATTTTCCCTGCCCCGAAGGGAATCTACCGCATGTGTTCCTTTGCTAATAAACTCTCCTTTCTCCTGATCAACCCTATTCACCATATGGCTACTTTTTATCTATCAGTTTTGTTTTGGTCTGATTTGGGGGAGGGGGGCAGTTAGGAGGTTAGTTTTCTTTTTTGCTTTGTTTTGTTTTGACACATGGCCTCATACAGCCCAGGCCAGGGTCAAATGTGTGGTGACCCTCCTGTCTCTGCTTCCCAAGTGTACTGGCATATGCACCACAGCCAGTTTGAAAGTTTGTCTTTAAAGAATATATTTATGTGTTATTTGAGTCATAAAATGCTGCCAACTTTTTAAATTTTTTTGTGTGGAAATCAGAGAAAAACTTAAAGTCAGTTTTCTCTTTTTACTATATGAGTCCTGGGGATTAAACTCAGGTTGCCAGGATTAGCAGCAAGTGCTTCACCTGCCTAGCAGTCCTGTCAGTGCACCAATTTCTCAAGTAACAAGATAAAAGGCAACTTATTAGGGGCTAGACAGATGACTCAGTGGTTAAGAGCACTGGCTGTTCTTATATAAGACTTGATTTGGCTCCTAACAACCACATGGCAGCTAACAACAATGCTTAAGTTCCCCTCCAGTTCCAGGAGCTCCAACACCCTCTTCTGGCCTCTGTGGGCATTGCACAAACATGGTATACTCACATATACATGGAGTGTAAGACAACTTTTCAGATTGGGGGGTGGGGAGAAGAAGGATATGGTATTTTTGAGAAAAAATCTCCCTATACAGGTCTCCCTGGCATTTCACTCTGTGTAGAGCAGGCTGGCCTCAAACTTGCAGTGTTCCTCCTGCCTCTCTCTCTTTTCTCCCCTTCTGTTTTCAGAAACAGCCCTAAGCATGGCATGGTAGCCCCTGCCTATAATCCAGTACTCAGAAAACAGAGACAGGAGGACTGCCATAAGTTTGAGGTCAGCCTGGGCTACCCAGTGAGTTATAGGCTAGCCTACGCTACACAAATCCAAATCTCAAATAAAAACAAAAGGAAGAGTCCTAGAATCAAGTGTCTCCTGTTCTAGGTCACGCTACCATAAATGCTTCCCAAGAAACCTCGGCCTGAGTCCTTGCTTCCACTCCTGTAACTCACCTTCCAGCATCCTCTGCATACCAAACTCATTATCCTTTATCTAAAACATACAGCAAATCACATCACTCACTTATCAAAACCCTTGGTGGCTTCCCAATGTAGTATAAAAATCAAGGTCTTGGGCTGAGAACGTTACTCAGTGATAAAGCACACACAGCATATGTGAGGTCCTTGTTCAATTCCCAACACCACTCAAACTAAATAAATAAGAAGAAATGTAATATAAAATTAGACTGAACTGTCATATGCTGTTCAAGCTTATGGAGAAGCTGGCTCTAGGGTCGAGGAGATCTTCCCTTGTCTCGGACATCAGTAAGCTTATCCCAAGTCTCCTCCAAAACTCCGTCCTGGGCAACTGGGGCCCCTAACTCTGTGGCAGAGAGAAAGAAAAACAGCAGATAGCAAAGGGTATTAAACACTGCATGCAAGAACACCTCGAAGGTGAACCATTTCCAACAAAGGTTGCTGATCCCATGGTATAAAAATGCCTGCGGTGGGAATGAGAAGCCACAGGTTCATCCGTGGAGACATTCTGAGTGAGACTCTCCAAAATGGGAACTCCAGCAGACTGTGGCAGCAGGGTGGCCCCAGGAACTGCTGCTGCTGGGTGTTCTAAGTGCTGGATTCAGTGGTGTTACTTTTGTTTGTTCTCTCACTCAGGCTTCTCCAGTCACTTCTGCAGAATGGTAAAAGCACCTGAGTTCATGTTTGCTCTCTCTGCTCCTACCTGCTGTCCACTAACTGGTTTTTATCTTTATTTTTGCTTGCTACATGCTCAATCTTAATAAACTCACTCGTTTGAGGCTGAAAGTAAGGCAATCACAGATCATTCTCGGAGAGAACAGAACAAGAAATAAACAAGAGTAACAAGGCCCCTGGCTACCTCCTGGCCTCGCCCATTCCACTGCCAACCACAGCCTCTGTGTGTTCTAGTTTGTACCTCTACACTTAACTGATCCCACTGTGTACAAAGAACTTAGTCACATCTCTGTGCAGCTGTTTCCTCATTTCCTTCCAGCCTCTGGTCAAATGTTATTAGAAGTCTGTCCAATCACCCTGTCTAAAGCAGCAAACTGCCAACAATCTCCTTCCTGCTCTTTTCGCTTCTGAACAGATATAATATGTATATAATTAGTATGTATATATTGTATGTGTTTACAGCATATGTGTCTTATATTGTAATACATCATGTATATATTCCATTAAATGTCTGACACTCTCTCAAATGTAAGCTCCAAAGAGGTGAAACTTGCCACATTCACCATAGCATCTGCAGAGTTAAGAATCATGTTTTTTTTTAAAAAAAAAAAAAAAAAAAAAGGAACCAAGCCCAGGCTGGAGTTATGGCTCAGGAGTTAAGAGTGGCTGATCTTGCAGAGGACCCAGGTTCAGCGCTCAGCACCCACATGACAGCTAACAACCATCTGTAACTCCAGCTTCTGTCCTCTTCTGGCCTCCACAGGCACTACATGCACATGCACAGACACACACATAAATAATAAAGTAGATCTTTAAAAAGAAAAAAAAAATAGTGCCCAACACAGGATGAAGCCTCAAATTAGAGGCTAAGGTAACACCACTGGCCCATGGTAATGGTAATACTATGATAGTTTCCTCCCATTATATTGCTACTGTACAGCCATCTGTGAACATGTTTTTGCATATCAGTATGCATATGTGAATGTGACTTTCCTTTGAGCATTTGTCAGTGCCTTTTGAGGCAGTACTGGAAACCGAACCTAGGGCAGAGTACAAGAGGCAAGCATCCTACCACCCAGTTACAGCCTCGGCCTTTTAAAAAGTTTTATGCTTTTATTACTTGTATGTGTTTATGTGCTATGGCGCACGAGTGTCAGAGAACAACTTGCAGGAGTCAGTTCTCTCCTTCCATCATGTGGGTTCCTAGGACAGAAGTCAGATCATCAGGCTTGCCAGGAGGTGTCTCTACCCAATCTTGCTTCCTCCCCCTTTTTAATTTTGAGACAGTCTCACTATATAGCCCAGGCTGGCCTCCAACTTGTCTCCTGAGTAGATGGGATGACAAGTGTGTGCCCCCACATCAGGCTTGTCAGAAACTCTTAATAGTAACAACTAACGTCACATACTAGGATCTGTGTGCAGAACTTTACTCCATCATACCACTTAATGAAAATAAACCATTACTTCTGGCATAGAATATGAATTAGCATACAACACACACTGACATGTCTTGAAAACTCATTACACAAATGCTAGCTGTTGAGACTCATGCGGGGTCAGAGAACATGTACTCAAATCTCACTTCCACTTTTTTTTCTTTTAAACTGGTCTCTGTAGCCCAAGCTGGCCTGGAACTCATTAGGTAGCCCACCATGCTTTGAACTGGTGGCAATCCTCCTGCCTTAGCCTTTTGTGCTGGGATTATAGGTGTGAGCTACCACATCCAGTTTCCTTTCCAAGAACTTTCTAGTTGAATGGTCACAGGCACTACTTTGAAGCTTTCTGAACTATTTCTCATCAGCTAAAGGGAGTACCAGAAAGAAAGTTAACTGCTGCTAACAATTAGTGATATTTTCCGCACTTTACACGGGACCCTATGTGTTCATTGCCAAAGATTATAAAATCAGAAGGCAATGAAGCCAGAATCCACCACACCTGTGCTATGCTGGTACCCTTGGCCTTGCAGCAATAATGCTGACAAAATTAATAAAAGTAATAAAACTTTGTACCGACTAGAATGTTACCGATGAAGTCATTGTTTTCCTTTATCTTGGGCATGCCTCCTTCAAGGCCTTCATTTGTCTTGTCTGTGGTCTTTCTAGACCATATGCTTTCTAAAAGTAGAGACCTGAACTCATCTCTGAATCCCCAACATTTAGCCTAAGTGTCAAATGTGAGTCTGAATGTTGATCATATCTTTTATCTCTGTGACTCATACCATGTCCAGTATCCAGCACATAGTAACAACCTAAAGAACACTTTAGTTGTGGAACCAAAAGTAGAATCTGAATTTAACGTAGGGGTACTTGTAGTCTTTTCCTCTCTCTCTGTCAAGACCCAAGTGTGAGTGGAGGGAATTCCATGGACAAGCAGGGTCCTGGCCAGGACCCAGGAGTGAGTGATCACTGCTAATCCTGGCCAAGCGCCCCCCTTCTAAGCCCCTGATCTGTCTTCAGTGACCGAGACTAAGAACGTGAAGCTATCAGCGTTAGGGGCTAGGAAGAAGACGGAGGGCTGCGGCCGACCGGTTGCCAGGCAACGAGGCTGGGGGCGGGGCCGGAGCCCCGGAGGTCGGGCGGGGGCCGTTACCTTGCCTGCTTGGGTGGCGGCAGCCAGGCACGGGTGAGTCCCGTCGTAGCGGCCTATGGCCACCATGCGGGGGCTGATTTTGTGGCGCAGTTTCAGGGTGAACACGGGCAGCAGCATGATGGCGGCAGCTCAGGGGAGGAAGGATGTCGCCCGACGCAGGCGCAGTGCAGGCGGCCTCGAGGAGGGGCGGCGCGCGGCCAGGACACGCGGAGCAGCCGCCACCTCAGGTCCCGGACGCGAGAGCGCGCCACCGAGCACGACCCGAGGCCGCCACTCCCTGTGCGCCTGCGCGAACCCGCCCAGCTGCACGGCTGCGGGCCCACCTTGCCGGTGAGACTGCGCAGTGGCCTCGTGGTCGGACGCAGAGGCTGGAAGTTAACCAAGGTGAAGTTTCCGGTGGTTAGGTCCCGGAGAGCTGGCTGGGCGGTACGAGTGCCTACTGCAGCTCTTGCAGACGTTCCGAGTTCTATTCCTAGCACCCACATCAGACAGCTCACAACCTCCTGGAACTCCAGCGCCAGTGTGATCCGACACCCGTGGCTTCCGTGGACAATAGCATTCACGTGCACGTGAACACATAATTAAAAATAATAAAATCGTTTTAAAAAATTGTGTTAGATGCAACCCCACTGTTGTGTCTAGGGTGGCCGCGTCTGAGCCAGGGCACCCCCAGGATTCCCTCTGACATGCCGGCCAAAACTGCACCCCAGCAGACACCGCACCATGCCACCCACTCCAAAAGGTCATTTAAACAAGAATTCTTGAGTGCCTACTGTGGCCCCGTTTTAATTTATGCCGAGTAACCTGCACTAAGTGTACTAATCCTGTCAAAAGAAAAATGCTTTAAATTCACATCCAGGTGGTGACTGTGTGCAGGGAAACACATAAATTTAAGGGAACATGCAAAGGGAAAGGAACTCCTCGTTGTTAAATTTAGAAGGACAGAGAAAGAATAAAGTTTAGGTAGAAGACCAGAGCCAGACCTTCAGCATCCTGCACAGGATTTCTTCAACTAAGGTGACACAGCTTCTCCACAGACTGGCAAGCTGTGCAAAGGTGTGAGGGGGTGGTGCTGAGTTATACATGGCTAGAAAAATAAAGGCACACGTGGAGCTCTGAAATCTAGGTTGAAGTTTCCTTGGGCCCTTTTCCTGGAGTTGCAGAACAAACTGTTTAGCTGGTTGTGGCTAGGTTGATGACGGTGGAGCAAGGCCAGCAGAGAGACATCCTGGCAGCTGTGGTAGTCCATCAGGCCTGAGATAGGGAAGTGGCTCTCAACAGTGGGTTAGGGTGTGACATTTGTCTTGGGGAGCTTCTGGTTTCTATAACTCATTCCCAAGTTTGGTTGAAGCTTCTCAACGGCTAGGGTCAAGAATTCCAAATACAATGAACATTTTCTGTGAAGCTTGCTACACAGAGACAACAATACCCTTTATATAGGGATATTTCAAACAAGAATGTTGAAGTAGCAAAAAATTGTGCTTAAGTGGTAAATATATATGGCCTTTCTCCCTTTCCAGCTGTAAACTGCAATTTTCTTGAATCTCACAAGAAATCCCACTTAAGTAAAATGTCCTAACCCCCTTGTGCATCCTTGTAACACATGGTTTTATCTTACCAGATTGCAGTCCTTACCAAAGTCACCTCTGAAGGCACCTTATCTCATTTATCAAAAAAGAGGCAAAAGAGAGAAGGGTTCAGGCGAACAGGGTTGGCAGAGGGAGAGGTGAGAGGAGCAGGTAAGAAAGTGTTCTAGTTTGCTTTCATATTGCTGTGATCAAAACCAACTTAAGGAGTAAAAGGTTTATTTGGCTTTACAAGCACAGTCCATCATCAACAGAATCCAAGGCAGGAACTCAGGACAGGAACCGGGAGCACAGACCATGAAGGAATGTTGCTTACTGGCTTGTTCCTCTGGCCTGTCCACAGCCTGCTTTCTTATACAATACAGGACCGCCTGCCCAAGGGTGGCACCTCCCACAGTGAGCTGGGCTCTCCCATATCATTCAATCAAGAAAATGCCCCACAGACATGGCCACAGAACAGTGCAATGGAGGAAATTCCTCAATTAAGGTTCCCCATAAGCAGATCACTAAAGCGATTCTAGCATAATTGACCCTTTGTTAACTTGACGCAAACACTATTTTTAAATCACAGCTTTCCATTTCCTATCCCCAAGACATGTTAATATTAATATCATAACATAAAACAATACAACTTTAAAACTCCAAATGCTTTAAAAGTTCATACATAGTCTATTTTAAAAGCCTTTCAACTGTGGGATCCTGTTTTATTTCAAAAGGGAAGAATTGGGCACATTTAAGCAAAAGCATTGTCCAGCAAAGTAACTCAATGCTGGACATCTGGGATTCACACACAGTCTTCTGGACTCCAAAGGACTTGGGAAGCTCCACTTACCTGGCTCTGCCATCCATAGCACACACAGCTTGTCTGGGAGGCTTAACCTGGTTCCACTCCAGACCTGCTGCTGCCCTTGGTGGCCGTCTCCTGTTCCTGGCAGTTCAGATATGTTGGGGTCTCTATTGAAACTAAGGGTGCATCTTCACTAAGAGCTCTTCTGGTCTCTCAGACTGCAAAGCCTCAGATTCTCTTGATGACCCCTTCAGTCCTGGGGTCTTCATTGCAACTGAGGTTGCACTTTCACCAATTGCCTTTCCCGGCCTCTCAGAGAGCCAAGCCTCAGCAGCTCTCTGTGACCCCTTCACAATTTCAACACCAGAACCATGCAGGATACTCTTACACATTACCAAGTCCTGCTTCCAGTTTGAGATGGAGGCTTAGGCCCCCTCTGGACCACAGCTTCTGTATGCTGACCCTGAGGAAATACTCCCTAGAAGATTTTACCACAATAATGCTGGTCTCTTGTTACTTAAAGCTGATTTTCCAACCCCAGCTAACCAGCATCAATTGTTCCATTAAAGCAGGTTTCACGTTCTGGACAGTTCTTAATTACAACTGATTCTTCAGCCCCATTGGACGGAAACCTCAGATTCTCAATTCAAAATATCATACAAACAGCCCTGATAATCTTTACTTCCCTCTGAAGCATCTTCATTCAGGCCTCCATCATCTATACCTCTTTCAGCATTACTGCTGCAAGTTCCACAGCAACAGCTCACTAAACTCTAAGCACTCAATGGCTTTTCCAATTCAAAGTTCTAAACATTTCCACAATCCTCCCAAAACAACTGGGTCAGGGCTGTCACTGCAATAACCTAGTCTTTTGTACCAATTTTTGTTCTAGTTTGCTTTAAACTGCTGTGATAAAACACTCTGAACAATACCTACTTGGGGAAGAAAGGGTTTTTTTAAATTTTTATTTGTTATTTTTATTTTATGTGTATGTGTGTATGGCCATGTCATGCAATGCCCTTGGAGGTCAGAAGAGGCTGTTGGATTCCCTGGGACTGGAGTTATAGATGTGGGTTCTGGGATTTGAACCCAGGTCTTCTGCAATAGCAGCCAGTGTTCTTAACCACTGAGCAATCTCTCCAGCCCCCAGAAAGGGTTTATTTTCTCTTACATCTCCTGAGTTACAGTTCATCACTGAGGGAGCCCAAGGTAGGAACTCAGGGCAGGAACCTGGAGCACAGACCATAGAGGAATGCTGCTTACTGGCTTGCTCCTCTGGCCTGTCCACAGCCTGCTTTCTTATACAATACAGGACCACCTGCCCAGGGGTGGCACTTCCCACAGTGAGCTGGGCTCTCCCATATCACTCAATCAATGCCCCATAGACATGGCCACAGGCCAATCCAATGAAGACAATTCCTCAGTTGAGACTCCCTCTAACTAGGTGTGTCAAGTTGACAACTAAGGCTATCCAGCACAGAAGGGTCAACTCAAGGACATATGTATGAAAAGGTCATAATGAAACCTGTTAATGTGTAAGTTAATTTAAAAAATAAAAGAGAGGAAGAAGGGGGAAAATGTAGCAATCCTTTGAGGTTTAACTTGAGATCCCCCAAAGGGTCTGTAGGTCTTCTACTAACATACTTAAGGGCAACTCTCCCTTGAGAAGCTCACATCCAAACTCTTGGATGTGTTTTATTCTTCTGAGGTCCTCTTTTTCTATTAAACTACCCTCTACCACCGTGATTAAGTCTATGTTAAAATCTCTGTATTTTATTTGTGTGTGTGTGTGTGTGTGTGTGTGTGTGTGTGTGTGTGTGTGGAGGTTAGAAGACAACTTTTGGAAGCCAGATCTCTCCTCCTACCATGGGGTCCAGGGATCAAATTTAGATTATCAGGCTTGTGCTTTTACCCGTTGAGCCATCTCATTGTCCCAAAATCTCAATAAAATTCAACTCTGCTTCAAACTATCTGGTACAGAAATTCTTTTCTTTAGTGAAATTAAAAATCCCAGCTTCTCTTGAGTGGAGGTCTCTGAAAAAAAAAAATCTCAGTCTGCTCTTAGGTGGAAGCATGGGTCTGTGTCTCTGGTCCACACCCTATTGCTCACGGCAAAGGTAGATTTATTTGAAAACAGTCTTGACAGATATAAGTTAAAGAGCTTGAAATGAGATCATCCTGGATTAGAATGGCCCCTAATTCTAATGATACATGTCTTTTTAAGAGAGAGAAGACAGAAAAAAACCACAGGCAGCAATTGGAATTACTTCTCGAAACCAAAGAATGCCTGAAGGCTCCAGAAGCTTGGAATTGTTCCCTAGAATGTTCGGAAGAAGCATCCTCCTGTTAATATCTTGATTTCAGACTTCTGGCTACAGATCTGTGAGAAAGCAATCTCGGTTTAAGTCACAAATGGTCAGGATAACTTGTTAACTATCTGTATATTTTAAAATATAAATCTGCAAAATTGAAAAGTTGCAACCATATTTTTTGAAGAGTAAGTCTGAAATTCTTCTAAACAATAAAGAACAATGAGCAAAAGCAAATCTCTGCTCAGTAACCATGGGGAACAATAGTCACTGGGTGGTAAAAGCCAAAGGGAAGATTAGGAGAAGAGATGGAGTGGAGAGGGGGCACACTTTTTTTAAATAATTTTTTAAATTGAGTTTTTGTCTATTTCATACAGAACATCTTAATCATCTTTATACTCCCTTCCCATTTGTACCCTCCCATAGCTCCCCCCACTGGAATTCATGCATTCTATCATTTGTGTTGAGGCCTATTGAGTCAAGACGTCCCTTGGTGCAAGTTCATCTACTGAGGTCTAGTCAGCTGTCTAGACTCCCTCACTTTAAGAAGATCAGCTCTTCCTCACCCAGCAGTAATCAGC